AGAGAATCCTGACCTTTGGTGTTTGTGGGTTGAGAAGTCTGGAAACTGCCACAGCTGCCCATGATTCAGTTCCCTGAGGCCTGCTCCAGGTTCACTGAGGCCTGTTTTGCCTGAGTGCCCACAATGAACTGCATTTCTCTCCCAGTCCGGCATGATAGACCTTTCTAATCAACCATCCAGGTTGTCTTAGGCTGGAAATTTGTTTCACTCTGTCTTTTTGTGGGTTCTGCTGCTCTAGAATTTGTTTAGAGCCTTTTTTTACAGGTATTTGGAGGGGTTTGGGGAAGAGCTCAAGCAAGTCACTGATTTCACTCTGCCATTTGTTTTTACCATTCAAAACTTTTTTTAAAAAAAAGTTAAAAAATTATTTTAACATGTAATTGGGAAAAACTAATATATACATACATATATGTATGTGTGTGTATAGATAGATATAGATATAGATATAGATATAGATATAGATATAGATATAGATATAGATATAGATATAGATATAGATATAGATATAGATATAGATATAGATATAGATATAGATATAGATATAGATATATAGATATAGATATATGTAATAAAATGAGTGAGGTTAGATATTAAACCAAATGGGCTTACATTCCCATTTAGTGACAATATTTGATAATTCCATACCTCGGGCATATAACTTGAATTCCTGTACTTGGCTTTTTGAGATCTTTTCATAATCTGGTGACATGTTACCTATTCAATTTTATGTCTACATGGTGACCTTTTTTCCTCCAAAGAGAAACATTTCTCCTATTTTTTTTTAGCAATTTCATAAAGTTAAATACAAACACTAATACAACAAAATTTGCTTTACAATTATTTATGAGTAAAGAAATTGATTTCTATACACAAATTACAGTTAAAAATAAAAACAAGGATACTTCAGGATTCCTTGTCCATTCAGGCTCATTAATTTTTCTTTTAATAGGATTATAATTAGTGTATTCTTTTTAAAATACTCTTAAAATACAATTTTGAAATATACTATATTTTTCTGTTTTTTAAATTTCTTAACTTTAGGTGCTAAGTTTTTTATCAGTTATTTTTATAATTAATATTTTTGCAATCTGTTATTTTTTTCTTTTAACTATACTTTTGTCATAGAGATTTTTATTTCAATGTAATCAAACACATTTAGCTTGTTTCTATTCCTCCTACTTAACAGAACAACAAATTGGGAATGTGAAAAATATGAAAAAAAACTCTAAGAAATAATATGAAGTAGAGAAAAATTCAGAACCAGAAGAACAGAGAACACTTGTTTTTGCATCATAGTTATTTCTATATGTATAATGACACTAAGAATTTGACCCTTTGTAATAACAAAGAAAAATAATTAAACAAAAACCAAGGACACAATGACTATCTCTGACAAAATTTTACTTCAGCATCTCCCTCATCCTCACCTTTTTGCTGCAAAGAAAGAGTTAGGAACAAATTGTTCGTAGTCACTTGCAAACACACTCAACCTCACCACCAAGTAAAGGGGTGAATTCAAATAACCTTGAATCTCACATCATCAAATTAAAAAAAAAAAACAACTCAATGAAGTTTGACACTAACAGGATTTTGTAACCAACTATACTCAGTCACTTAAGGTAGAATTATGATCCTAAGAATATTTTTGGAAAACAATCTGGCAGTATATAGTGAAAGTTATAAAAACGATATTATCCTTTGACCTGATAATTTTATCATTTGGAATATACTCTGTGTTATCAAAAGCAACCAAAAAATTAAAAGATTTCTAGAGCAGCATTAAGTAAGAGTACTCCATCATATGAATTTTATTATACTTTATTTGATCTTTCCCTATTGTTGGATATTTATATTTCTTCCCATTTAAAATAATGCTAAATAACTGAGATTAGTATATTACTTCATTTTATTCTATCCTTTTATTATCTACTTTTTATTTAAGTCTATTATGTAACTGGAATCCATTGCCATATGAAATGTATGTCTAAATCCATTTCCAGCTCAAACTTCTAAACAATTTTCCCAAGCACATTTATTAAATAACAGTACCTCCCTCAGGTTTTATTTCCTCCAGATTTGTCAAAGACTAATCTTTTCCATGTATTTGGTTAAATATCTGGTAACTCTGCACTGTTTCACTGGGATCCTGCTCTGTGTGTAACCCAATATCAGATAGTTTTGATAGCCATACTACAATGTCATTTAAAGTCTATGACTACAAGACTTTAATCAGCCTTTATTCCCATTATGCCTTTTCATATTTTTGGTTGTTATTTTCCTTATAATTTAATTATGATTTTATGTAATCCTATAAATAATTCTGGTGGCACTTTATTGAAATTGTATTAAATATATACTTTTGGGCAGTAATGTAATTTGTATAATATTAATCCTATCCATCCATGAATACTACATTTCCTGATTATTGAGGTATTCTTATATTTCAATTATTATAATTTTAAAGTTGTCCTTATTTAGGGCATATGTATTTTCAAGTAGTAAATTTCCAAATATTTGATGGTTTTTGTTGTTACTATAAATCAGGCATGTCTTCTTTGTTCCACTGACATTGTTTTTTCCAACTGTTTCACAGATATACAATGAATTTCCATGGATAGAAATATTCCACACAATCACTCAATTTCTTCTCCTGCCATTTGTACCTATCCAAATTCCACCAACTCTCCAAGGTTCAGTTTAGGCACCACTTAATAAGGATATTATCCACTACTCCAGTTCCCTCTTTTCTAATTCCCCTAGCATAATTCATATTTTATCACTTACAGACCACTACAAATTGTTTCAAGCCTCAGTCTTGTCTCCTCAACTAGAATGGAAATGCTTTGAAGTCAAGGACCATATCTGCTACGGTTTCAGTACCACCACACAGCATTGAGCAATGTTCTGAACACTTAGGAGATGTTTGATGTTGATCAAAACTCGTTCAATCTGTTCAGTCAAGTCAACAAGTGTTCATTAAATGCTTACTGTGTGCCAGGCACTGTGCTAAGCACTGGAGATATAAATACAAGGAAAAAGAAAGACTGTCCCTAACTGCGAGTGTCTTACATTCTAATGGTGGAAAACAATACAGAAAAGGCAGCTAAAAAATCAGAAGGGGGGGGAGTTATCCATACATGAGTATAGCAGGGAAATATAGTGTCAGCAGTTGGGCCAGGAGACTGTGAAATATGCTGCCCTGGGACACTTTCCAAATTGGAGGTCTCAAGATGAACTCATCAATGGAACAAGAGGGAAATAGTGGTGAAAGGAAGTTCCAGAGTAAGAAGGCCAGAAGCAATAAAGAAGTTGCCAGAGAGAGAAGGCAGCTGAAACATAGTGGTAAAGTCTAGAAAGTCAGAAACAAAGCCTGGAAGAGCATCATTCAGTTGTTCATCTGGTTGGTGAGTGAACTAGATGTTTAACCTATCAACTAATTCTATGTAAAAACTATTATTTGACTGCAGGGGTGAATATTTTCAAAGATACTATAAGTAGGGATGGAGTTAGAGAAAGAAGGATCTCAGTATTGATATTCAATGTCAGTTTCCCTTCACCTATCCACATCATGATAGAGTCACATAATACCTATTGTATTGGCAACAATCTATATTCGCAAGGGAAATTATTCCTTAGTTCAATTGAGTAAAAAACACATCCAGACTAGTTATTCACAGCCAAGTAAACAAAACATCATCATTATAAAACATATTGATAGATGAGGATTTGTTGATATTCATACTCCATTAGAGCATGGCACTTTTTTTCTGATGTATAGACTACTATTTTTTCCAAGAGCTTGGGATATTAGATTTAGAATTGCAAGGACTGTGGCAGCTAGGTGGTGCAGCAGATGGAGCGCTGGCCCTGAAGTTAGGAGGACCTGAGTTCAAATTCAGCCTCAGATACTTGACAGTTACTAGCTGTGTGACCCTGGGCAAGTCACTTAACCCCAATTGCCTAAAAATTAAAAAAAATTAAATTTGAAAAAAGAAGTGCAAGGACTCTCAGACATCATTTGGTCCAATTCCTTCATTTTACAGATAAGAAAACTGATACCTAGAGAGGATAAGTGACTTGCACAAAGTAATAAGAGTAGTTTGTGTCAGAATAAGAATTTGAACATAAATTCCAGATCCTTTTGCTCTAAATATCTGATTCTTTCCATTGTATCATGACCAATCATGAATTCCTACTTTTAATATTTGTGTCTACATCCTCTCATTAGATCAATTATAATCATGACTTCCCTTTGATATTATCCACCATTTACACTGCTAGGTGGCACCATGGATAGAGCACTGGGCCTGGAGTCAGTAAGACTCATCTTTCTGAGTCCAAATCTGGCTTCAGACACTTTCTAGCTGGGTGACCCTGGGTAAGTCACTTAGCCCCATTTGTCTCAGTTTCCTCATCTGAAATGAGCTGGAGCAGGAAATGGCAAACAACTCCAGTATCTTTGCCAAGGACACTCTAAATGGGGTCATGCAGTCAGATATATCTGAAAAATAACTAAACAACAATACCACTGTATGTATCTCATATCTATTTTCATTTGCATGTTTATTCTCCCATTAGATTATGAGCACTTTGAAAGCAAGCACTGAGATTTTGCCTTTCTTTATATCTTCAAATCTTAGCAGAGTATCTTACTTATACAGTCAGAACTTAATAAATCCTTGTTGACTGACAGTTAAAATTATCTTTGTTATGTTTAGAGCTTCAACAAATAGCTGTCTCAGGATTTCAACTTTCCTTTATTTTCTCTCAGTTCCATTGTCAGTGGACATGAAACAAAAGAGTTTGGAAATACATTTATTCCTACATTGTGGTTGGGGAATAGAGAGTTAGCAAAGCAGGGAAGAGTTCTAAAGTGTAAAAATAAGACTAGGTTCAAATCCTGACTCTCGTACATCCTGTGTTCTGTGACTATGGACAACCCACTCAACCTCTCTCACCCTGAGCTTCCTCACCTGTAAAACAGAAATAATAATACTCACCTCATAATGTTGGTTTGAGAAGCAAAATCCAATGTAATGTGTAATTTCATGATCAAGAAGTAAAGAATGTCAAAATCCTATGAAATAGAAGCAAAATCATATAAGTTTAGTAAGTACAGCAAAAGGATAACATAGTATGGATGTTAAATGATTTAAGATGCCAAAATTTTTTAAGTTTATTTTCTTAGTCAAATAGATTATTTTACTTTGTTTCATATATCACAGTAATCAGCCCTCAACAGAGTCTAGTTGATTCATTTATAAGGGCTGATGTTTTGTCCATTGAAAGTTTAAGTCTAAAATCACTATAATCACCACATAATAAATGATTCACTGATTGAAGATGGGAGCAATATGAGATAAGGCTGGAAAAATAGTGTGGAACCAGTTTTGGGAGAACTGTGACTGCCAGGAAAGAAGTTTAAAATTTTCATGGCAAGAAAAAGGCAGCCAATGAAGTTTGTTTGTTTTGAGCAGAGGAGTAATGTAAGCAGATGAAAACATAAGGAAAATACAGGATGGGTTTTCTTAAAGAGAGAGAGAATGGGAATGGAAAAAGACATGTCAGGTTATTGCAATAATGCAGGTAACTAAAAAAAATGAGTTGATGGGAAATAGATAAGTGGACGACTTCTAGAACTGCTGCAGAGATGGAATGTCAATGTCATGGATTCAATGCTAGAATCAAGGAAGAAGAAAGAGTCAGTGATAGTTCCAAGGTTGTGAACCTGGAAGACTAGGTGAACGATCATGCCACAGTAATAGTGAAGTCAGGAAAGTAATGGATTTAAGCTCAATTTTAGACATGTTGAGTTTAAGATCATCTTGAGAAATCCAAGTGAAGATATTATGTAGATGTTAAGAAATATGGGTCTGAATTTTAAATGTTAGGTTTGGGAATTACCTTTTCTTTATATAAGTGGTAATAATAGCCTAGGATAAAACCTGGAAAAAATAGGCTGCATGTTGAATCATCAAGTACAAATATTCCACAGTTATGGACTTTTCTCACTTTAAATTTTTAGAATATGAAAAATAACAAAAAAAAGAAATTTTATATAAAGAAAAAAAATTAGTCACTCAAGTTGTCCTTTATGCCATTAACATTATCAACATATCTACTTAATATATGCATGATATATTGACATTTTTAGAAAGGGAAAAGTAACAAAATATATTTTGTATACTAAAAATAAAGAAAAAAGAGATATAATTCCTGAAATTGTCCCTTATGCCATTAACATCACCACCTCTATTAATCATGTGTGTAGTGTTCTGCGCTGTCATTAGTTGGTATTTTTGTCAAGTCATAATCAATTCAAACAGCATCCCCAGGAGGGCAATGAATATTGTGATCCCTCCTTTGAAAATGAATCACATCTTTATTGGTTGCTTTGCTAACAATGCATCTCATATGCATGTATCATCACATGACTCTTCCATCACTGGTATTGAATCAAGACGACAACATTGTCTTCTTCTGGGTACTGTGTTTGTTTTGAGCACCCAGTGATTCAAACATCATGTTCCTTCTAGACAGATAAAAGAATGTCCTTGGTTCACCTACAAAGGCTTCCAGTTACTCGGCTTACTATCTGCACAAAGTTTAAAGCTGAACAGTTTGGAAAGAAAATTTTGACCAATCTCATTGTCAATTCTGAGGACTGGCAAAGAATCATAAAGTCAGAACGTTAGGTCAAAAACAATGAGTGGATGATGTCTAGGGAATTGAGTTATGGCTTCATTTTTAAGGATAGGCAAAGCTGATGTCAACATTCAGATGGGTGTTAGTAAAACAAAAAAATCATTAAACCTCTAGAAATGACTTTACTTAACATATGATGATCAACTAAATAAAAGAAATGCAACACATTTTGGTTTGATGAATCAGCTTTCATCACCCTTTAACTTTGCTTTGAAAAAATCCCTCTGCCCAAGAACTGACCCTACTGCACCCCACCACCTCCCAACACACACCAGTTATAGCCTAAGTATTAAGTGCTAACAAGTGGAGCTAAACAATGGAAACAACAGCACCCCTAGGTGGCGTTGGCAAACAACAGGATGAATGAAATCAACTTTCTTGACAACTGACATGCGCTTGCAACTTTTGAGGTGCTCTGAAACATCCCTTTCTAAATACATTCTCAGACAATAACTAGCTTGTGACCCACAGCAACTCATTTAATATCCATTGGGCTTAGTTACTGTAGATGGATCTGTGCAGGTCCTGTGCAAATCTATGCAAAGAAAGTTAAAAGGCTCATAGAAGCACCCAAAGGTATTGGGTAAATCCTTTATGCATGATTTATAGTACAGCATACACAAGATAGAGTGGTATAGAGAAATTGCAACCTGTACCATTGAAGGGATTAGCCAACGAGATCTCAGACCCACTGAAGAAGTATTGTTCAATAATGCTCTCATTCAGAAAAACCATATACTTTCATCGAGATGATAAACTCCAAGGGGTTTCAGACTATGCCTTCACTGGCAATTCTTGTAGTCCCTCAAATGTTGTAAACTCAATCAATACTTGTCATGTTCACTTGAAAAACTGAGTACTGAATGAACTAGCTACTACATGTAGGGTACTCTGAAATTCCAAAAGGAAAGGTGGTATGACCAGATCTAAAACTATATTGTAAAGCATCAATTATCAAAACTATTTGGCACTGCCTACGAAATAGAATGGTAGATCAGTGGAGGAGATTAGGTAAACAAGACACAGTAGTCAATGACAACAGTAATTTACTGTTTGATAAACCCAAAGATGACAGTATCTGGGATAAGAATTATTTGATTTTTAAAAATTGCTGCGAAAACTGGAAAATAGTATAGCAGAAACTACGCAGAGGCCAACATCTCAAACCATATACCAAGATAAAATCAAAATGGGTACATGATTTAAACATAAAGGGCAGTTACCATAAGCAAATGAGGAGAGCAAGGAATAGTTTACCTGTCAGATCTAAGGAGAAAGGAAGAATTTATGACCAAACAAGAGATAGAGAACATTACAAAATGCAAAATGGACAATTTTGATTACATTACATTAAAAAGGTTTTACACAAACAAAACCAATGCAACCAAGATTAGAAGGAAAGCAGAAAGATAGGAAACAATTTTTACAGCAAGTGTTTCTGATAAAGGCCTCACTTCTCAAATATGCAGAGAATTGAGTCAAATTTATAAGAATACAAGTCATTCCCCAGTTGATAAATGATTAAAGGATATGAACTGACAGTTTTCAGATAAAAAAATTCAAGCTATCTATGGCAATATGAAAAATGCTCTAATCACTATTGATTAGAGAAATGCAAATTAGAACACCTCTGAGGTATCCCCTCATACCTATCAAATCGGCTAATAAGACAGGAAAGGAAAATGATAAATATTGGTGAAGATGTGGGAAAATTGGGACACTAATGCATTGTTGGTGGAGTTGTGAACTGATCCAACCATTCTGGAGAGCAATTTGGAACTATGCAAAGGGCAATCAAACTGTGCATACCCTTTGATCTAGCAATACCACTACTAGGTCTGTATCCCAAAGAGATCATTTAAAAAGGGAAAAGAATCTACATCTACAAAACTATTTACAGCAGCTCTTTTTGTGGTGGCAAAGAATGGAAATTGAGAGAATGTCCATCAGTTGGGGAATGACTGAATGAGTTGTGGTATATGAATGTAATGGAATACTGTTGTGCTATAAGAAATGACAAGTAAGGGGATTTCAGAAAAACCTAGACTTACATGAACTGATGCTGAGTGAAGTAAGCCGAACCAGGAGAACATTGTACCAAGTAACAGCCATATTGTGTGATGATCAACTATGATTGACTTGGCTCTTCTCAGCAATGATCCAAGACAGTTCCAAAAGTCTCATGACAGAAAATGTTATCCACATCTAGAGAAAGAACTATGGAGTCTGAATATTTTCACTTTTATGGCTTTTCCCTTTTGTTCTGTCTCTTCTTTCACAACATGACTAATGTGGAAATATGTTTACATGATTACACATGTATGACCTACATTAGATTGCTTGCTGTCTTTGAGAGGCAGATGGGAGGGATGGAGAAAAAATTTGAAACTCAAAGTCTTTTAAAAAATGAATCTTTAAAACTATCTTTACATGTAATTGAAAAAAAAATAAAATATTATTTACAAAAAGGAAAGGTGGTATGATTCTGCATATTAGTACAAAATTCAAAATAACAAAACTATTCTGGGGATAGGATAATTGTACCAGTAGGATTTTCTGCATAACTCTGAGTTAAACAAAAAGCCCTTTTGGAGCCATCCCTTTTGTTAAAAATCTTCAGCAATCATATTATTTGGCAGTCTTAATTGAATAAACATAATGTGATAAAAGACCCCGAGTGGCTCTTTGATCATCGAGAATTTTGTTGGACACAATGTAGAGAACCCAAAAGTCCTGGTTCTAAGCTATAGCTTATACTCACTCTCCATTTGACCATGAACAAGCCATTTAACTTCTCAATCTGTTTTCTCATTTGTAAATATAAAGTCTATGTGCTACCCATGCAAATGGGTATGTCCACGTGGGTTGCCAAAATAAGATTTGTCAGGAGGCATTGATAGCTTTAGCTAGAATCTTGCCCATTCTTCTTCAAGAGAGACTTTTATTCCTATCTTGAGGGGAGCAAGATAAGGAGACACAAGGATGAATTCACTGTTCTCCAGAGGAGATATTGGACTAGAATTATATCCATCTCTCAAATATTACTGGCCTTGGGACATAAATTGTTTTTGGTTCAACAGCGACAGAGCTAAATTTCCTGGTTGCTATCACTTTTCAAAGGGAACTCCAAGATTATACCTGCAGCCTCGTCTCATTCCAATTAAATGTTAGTTACACTAAAGTTCATCATAAATGGTGAATAGTAAATAAAACTAATTATCCAAATAGATAATAAAATCATGGAAGTCATATGTATTAGAATGTATCATAAGATACATAAAATGAATGAGGTCTCCCGCTAGAAGAGAGCTCAACCAAGAAAGAGGTCCATATTTTCCTCAAGAGGAAATTCCCTGACATCTCTCAGGGACAAAAGCTGGAAATCTGGGACATGTTGAAGAGCTGGCTTTCCATTGTAATTATGCCTTCGAAAGGCTGTTTCCCTAGCTCTTTCCCCCCACCTCTGCCAGTCTGTCTGTCTCTGCCTGTGTGTGTGTATGTGTCTGCCTGTCTGCCTGCCTGTCTGTCTTTGTCTGTGTCTCCAGAAGGAAAGAAAACAAGGTTCTTCTTACCAATGCTCTAACACCAATTCTGCCTCTGATGCAATCACACAATGCCAAGTCATCATTTTTCCTACCAATGAAAAGAGTTTATACAAAATGCTCCAGGCTTGAAAACTGAGCTACATAAATTTAGGGTAATCAAGCAAAAGTCATTAAGTTCCTATTAAATGCCAGGCATTATGCAAGCACTGGGGTACCAAGATAAATATCAAAATAACTCTTGCCATCAACGAGCTTATATTCTATCAGGGGAGGTAAGAATGAACATGCCTAGTAAAATATAAAATAAATTACAAAGTGATGGGGAAGGAAGAAGCACTAAAAACTGTCTGAAAGGCCTTATAAAAGAAGACTAGAATTCATCTTAGTGTTGAAGAAATTTAGCAATTGTATAAGGGAGCATATTTCAGGCATGGGAGGTGAGGTGGGGTGGAGGCAGCTAGAAGTGTGAGGGCAGAAGATGAAATGATGAAGAAATGGAGGATAATTGTATTTCTGCAGCCTATTTCAGAAGATTATAAGGAAAGTCATTTAAAAAAACTGCTAAGCATTATCTGAACATGTACACTATTAATATTATATTTCTGAAACCAATTTTTCTTGTAGATTCTAGTACATGTAAATGCAGCACATGTGATTGAGGTGCCACCATGCTGAATGTTTTTATTGACTCCAGGACCCTTTGTTGGAGGTCTTCAAAATTAGGACTAATGTATCTTAAATGCTCATTTACACAGGATCCAAACAAACAAAGTCTAACCAGATTTGTTATGAAATGCTTATAACTAGAGACATAACTCTCACAGACAGTTAGAATTTTGCCCCAAGGCTACTACATCTGGGGATGGTGAGGTACTTCCTCTCCACATTGACCCTGTGAGCCTATACTTCCACTCATACCTCAGGTTCTACTCCCACGGTGCCCCTTTCTTCAAACTTGCCTATTCCTGAAGCAGCACTGGGGCAAAGTCTCTCTGGGCATAGGCCATGTCATCTTCCAAAACAAGTGCACATGTGGTCAGACTGTGTCTTCAGCTCTGCCAATCCTGAACTCTCTTTCCACCCCTCCACCACCACCTTCCACCACCACTCCTCATTATCATCCATCCCTCCATATAAATTTGACCCCAGAGAAAGAATTCGGATTGCTAGCTCTCCTTATAACCATGACCTTAAAACTGTGATTTTTTTAAAAAAATCAATTTATTGTGTAGCTTTTTTCCTAAAAAGGGAACCCAGGAGAACATGGATTATTAAATGCCAAAAATTTAAGACATATTTTACTGTACATTTTCAGATCTCAGATATACCCACACATGCTTCATTCACTACCATGATAATTAGCTTTTATTCACTTGGAGCTCTCAGAATCATCTCTGCAGCATTAGTATCTTTGCTGCCGTACTTATGTTTTCAGCTGAATCTTGGTGGGGTAGGTAAAATACAAACAAAGCATTTGATCAAGGGTTGCCATTTGATAATTATTGCAAGAGTTGCCAATTATTGCAAAGAGTTGGAATGCTCAAAATATACCCAGTTGTTATAGCAAAATATAGCTATTTTTAGAAATAAATAATATGTCATTGGCCTGACTCTTGAGTATGCATACATATATATAAGCTTAGATAACAAATTATGATTTTCAAATTTTTTTTATAAGTGAGATTTTGAATCAAGAGTCTTTTTGGCATTACACAGAGCCTTTTTCTGTTTTCTTCTTGCACATTTAATATTAGAGGTCATTAAAATTAGGATAACTTTATAATAAATGCAAATTTATTCAAAATTCAAAATAGCAGTTTTTTACAGTAAACAAATATTCAAAATCATGACCCTGAATCTCAGTACAAATCTCAAATCTTTTCTGGATATTAAATATTTATTTTATCTCATTAAGTTTTCATTTTAAATATATTTTGAATTTTCCAACATGGTACCAATATACAAAAATGTATAACCACATGTGTGATATTTTAATGAAACTAGTGATTTGCCAGAACTTAGTTTCCTGCAAGCATTCTTGAAAAATAAGTTTATTATACCATTCTGTGAAGAAAAGACTAATTTCTATATGATAGATAATAACTCATATTTATATGGCCTATTCAGACTCGTAAAGTGTCTTCTACAGCAATACTATCAAGTAGATAGTATAAATATTACTATCTCCCTTTTACTATGAGGAATTATAGTGAAAGTTAAAATAAGCTAAGTGACTTGCCCATAGTCACACTGCTAATGTCAAAGCCAAGAGGAAAACCCAGCTCTCCTGACTCTAAGAACTGTGCATTATTCACTTACATGGGACTTCTTTATTAAATGCATGTTGACTTCTCAGTAAGAATCCGTGCTAAGTATTTACAATATCAAAGCAAATATTCCCACATACAACTCCAAGTAGTAGATATGCTATCTCTATCACAAATTTACATTTGTAAATGCCAAGGCATGGGTCACTGGAATGTATCTGGAATATAGCTTCAACTGGTAGTGTTGAGGTTGAGTGGAACCTTAACATTAGTGACTATCCTTCTCATTGGTTTATGTGCACCCAACACCTAATGCCAGTACAAGGTCTGGTCGGACTCACCAACCAACAATTTGATGTGTTCACATTCGTGAAGTATTGGAAGTATACCAGGATTAGTAATTCACTCATTTGCCTACCTGAGATAAGAGTCATTGGCAATCACCTGTTTAGATTCAGTACAATGACTGAAGCTCCCAAGGAAAGATGTGCATCAATTATAGAATCACATACTTCAGGTGATAATATGGTACAGAAAAAAAAAATCTTCAGTAATACCAGAGGACAAGACGTCCCCCAGCCAAAGGCAGAGATGAAAACACCTCAGCAACTGGGACAAATGGATACAATGTAGGGTTGATAAACTGCAGAATAACCAACCTGTATACCAGCCAATATAGCAGGTCCTTCTATGAAGCCAACCATTCTTACCATCTTAGAGGGACTGTAATTAGGGAAATACTCATGATGGAGCACTGCATTTTTGTGACTATTTCTTCCTTCATAATATTAGATTATTTTGGGGGGAATGGCAAATTTTACTTAGAATGAGAGTGCTTTAATAGACAGTTCAACTTTTACTTTCTCCTGTAACTTTCATACTACAAACATTAAAAATTATTTCCCCTCCTGACCTAACCAACAATGTCGCTGTTCAGGCATTTCAGTTGTGACCAACCCTTCCTCATCTGAGGTTTTCTTGGCAGAAATGCTAAAGTGGTTTGCCATTTCCTTCTTCAAGGAACCAACTGATAATAGCTTTTTCACTTAGCTACCGATTCTTTTCTTCACAATGTTTTAACTTGTTATACTTCTTTCATTTCTAGATGCGTCAGAAGAAGGAGTAATGTTTTTAAGCTCTTTTGGTATGGTTCTGCTTAATGTGCCAGAAGGTGATTTAAACCAAAGTTTGAACACAAATATTCATCAGACAAAACTAAATGACTGCTCTAAACAATAAAAATGGTTGATGACCCAAAGGGCAATGGAAATGCTGGATATCAGCAAGATACAGCATATTTCCTTTATACTATTTCTTGCATCCAATATCTTCCCTCCACTCACACAACTTTCACCTGAGTTCAACCTCTATCATCACTTGACTTGATTATTACAGCAGCCTCCTAATTGGTCTCCCTGCCACCAGTCTTCACCACTTCAGTCCTTCTTCCACAAAGAAGCCAACGTAATTTATTTAAGTGAGACCATGTATCTCCCAAATCAGAACAACACCAGTGGCTTCCTAATGCCTCTAGAATCAAACGTAATCTCACAAACTGGCCACAACCTTTATTTCCAGACTCATTAGACATCACTATGTCTCTCACACTCAGGGGTGTAGTCAAACTGGCCTTCAATCTGCTCCTGATACACAGCACTCCATTTCCCCTTTCCAGGCCCTTTGTACTGGTTCCACCCACTTTCAGCCCTGGCAAACAATCTCTTCTTGCCTTTGCTTTACTTCACAGAGTCCCTTTCTTCCTTTAAGATGCTGCCCAAGCACTGTCTTCTGCATGATGACTTTCCTAACCCCTCTGCTAGTGCCTTCTTTCCAAAATACATTATATTTAACTACTTTGGATATGTATATGTGTGTGTGTATGTATGTCTAGATAGATAGATAGATAGATAGATAGATAGATAGATAGATAGATAGATAGATAGATAGATAGATGCATAATTGGGTTTTTTCACTTTATATTTACCCTATATATACTTATACATCTACTTGTCTTCTTCTCCCATTACAATGCAAGTTCCTTGTAAATAGGGATTATTTCTCTCCTTGTGCTTGTATCCCCAGTGCCTAGGACAGTGCCTGGTACAGAGTAGGTGCTTTCTGCACAAGAAATGAACAACAGATTTCAACTTGGAGATATGTGATTTGAAGTGACCCATCATGCTGTGAGAGAAAGGGATGATAGAGAATCCCAATTGCTACACTGATACCCACATTATTTTACAGGATCCACAGAAAGCCTCCAGATTGAGGGTTATCTCAATCCTTTGTGGAAGGACACAGACAAGAATCAAAGAGAATAGAGACACATAGGTTACAATCAGTACCATTAAAGGGAATACTCACATTGATGAGATCATGGATCCAGCATGTTTTAATGTGAGTCAACCTGCCAGGTTCTCTATTAGCATCATTATCCATGGGGCAGAGCTGGAGGCCAAAACAGAGTGATAACTGTGAAAGAACATCCAGTCCTCTTGCTACTAGAACTCCTGGTAAAAGTCAGATAATAAAGGAAAAAAAAATTAACTGGTTTGGCCATCAACACTTCTAACAATATGAACCATTTAATTTTGGCTAAAACATTTCTTTATTTAATTAGGGAAGTGTCTCTGTGAACTGAACAGCTGGAATTAATGCATATTAAAGACCGGTTTATCCAGCTGTCTATTAGACGCAAATTTCTATTAATCAGCACTTCCAGTACAGTAAATATTACTGTTCTTCATAAAAAATGATAATGAAGTACGAAAAGATCAGGAACTACAGTTTATATAATCAGAGACTAAATTCTGTCCAGCGTCCTTTGGCATCAAGTGTTTAATATTCCTTTGAAAGCTGGCAATCAAAGAAATCTCAGAATAAGAAAGGAATCTGGAGATCTTTCAATTAAATCTCCTTCACAGCATCCCACACGAGGATCAGTATGCATCCTTAGACAGCTCTCATTGCAAAGACCTTCCTTCTACTGAGCCAAAATCAACCTTCTTGTAAGTAATGGCTTTCATTTGTCTTGCTGGATCTATAGGTATTAAGTCTAACCTCTCTTCTGAATAACAGTCCTTGAAATATTTAAGAACAGCTCACACAGCCATTCTAAACCTTCTCTTTGCTGTTTTCAGTTGCTTTTCAGTCATGTCCAACTCTTCATGACCCTATTTAGGGTTTGCTTGGCAAAGATACCAAAGCGGTTTGCCATTTCCTTCTCTAGCTCATTTTACATATGAGGAAACTGAGGCAAACAGGATGAAGTGACTTGCCCAGGGTCACACATCTGGTAAGTGCCTGACTCCAGGCCCAGCTTACTATTCACTGTGCCACCTAGCTGCCCAAACCTTCTCTGTTACTGACTAAATAAATACCCATAGTTACCTCCATCATTTTTAATGATTGGGATTTGAATTCCTTTCTAGTCACCCTCCCCTGGAGGTTCTCTCATTTGTCAATGTCTCACCTAAAACTGTAGTACACCAAGTTAAACATAATTTTCTTGGTATTGTTTGAAAACTTCAAAGTGTAGTGGACCTGAGAATCCCCATTTTGAGTATAACTTCTACCAAAGGAGACTTAGAAAACATTCAGGTTTTTAGCTGTTGTGTCACACTATTGATTCGCATTGCCTGTCTATCCATTCTTTATTGTTCTCCGTGCCCTGAATAGGCCTTAAACCACCTTTCTTGCCCATAGAATTTTCAGAGATCTCAATTCATTCTAGCATAAGCTCCCAGGGTTTTCATGGGAATAAGGAAAGTCATATTCTCTTGGCCGAACAGTATCAATCAGCAGCACCTGGAGAGTGCCCAACACTCACTCAATTGTTTATAGCATCCATTCCACTGGACAAAAGTGTCAAGTAAGTACATACCTATCAATGGCTCTCAGAGAATGAAAAAAACTTTTAGCACTCTGTTCCACTCTCTTGCTGGAACAGCATCCATTTGTAATCTAGGAGTTGTGGATCATTGTGGATTTGCCTGAATAGAAATCAGCTTTTGATTCTCCATTTCTGGAAATTTCTACCTCTTCCCAGAATTTGCTATATTCCAAGCCTTAGTCACATGTTCTCAGCATAGTTATATCAGTTCCCTGCAGCAAGAGGAAAACATGATTAATTGCATGTGATAACAAGAATAAAATAGCTAACATTATACAGTGCTTACTATGGGCCAAGTAACAGGCCACAACAATCCTGAAAGATAAGTGCTGTTATTTTCTGCACTTTACAGATAGGGAAGCTAAGACAAACTCAGGTTAAGTGAATTACCCAGGGTTACGTAGCTGGTAAGTATCTGAGGCCAGATCTGAACTCAAGTCTTCCTAACTCCAGGCCCAGGGCTCTAGTTGCCTTGACTATGTTTCCTAATAAAATTCTAGAGTATATTTTTAAAGGGATGATTAGTGAATACGTAGAAATTTCATCAGAGATCACAAAAAAAGCCATCAAAACATCATCAAGAACACATTATATAACACTAACCCAAATTATTTCTTTTTTTGGCAATGTAACTAGACTAATATAGCAAATGAAGCATAAATATATGTATTGTATATGTGTGCATATAAATCCATATATGCATACTTATATGTACATATAATTTTATGTGTTATATAAATACATGTAAATACATGTGTGTAAATAAATGTGTACATGTGTGTGTGTGAACAGTGTTCCAAAGCTATTAAAACTTAAAACTGCGCTAAGACTTTTGGAACACCCTGTAAATCATAACCTGAGAGATTTTTATCTAATGCCTTGTGAAAATCTAGGGATGTAAGATAAAATCTCTCATGATATGTTTCGTGAAAATCTAGGGAAACGTGTATACATATGTACACTTATGTACATATGTACACATACAAATATATATGTGTATACATATATCTGTGTGTACATATATACATTTACATACCTGTGCATATATGTGTATGACATCTATATATGCATATGTATATATACACATATAAGCATACATCACATCTCACCGTATACAAATACATCTCACCAGGTTTTCATAAAGCATAGCACAAGGGATTTTTTCATATATCCCTAGATTTTCAGAAAGTATTTGACCACAACTTCTCTTATGCTACTCTTGTGGACAATACAGAAAGAGATGGGGCAAATGATAGTAGAGTTAGCTGGATTTATAATTAGTTGAGTGCTGCCCAGAAAGAGTCAATGGAGAAAGAAATAGACAAGTGTTCCTGGGATCTGTGCCCAATCTTGTGCTTTTGACATTTTGATCAATGTCCTAGATGATGGCATAAATTATATATTTATCAAATTCACAAACGATGTCAAGATAGAATATAAAAAGCTAAATTCACTGCATGAGAAACTCAGGATCCAAATAGATTTCAACAGTGTAGAATGTTGATCCAAATGAAATTTCATAGGGTGAACATGAAGCTTTACAGGGATTCAAAAACCAACTTCACAAATAAAAGACAGGAAGTCTAAGTTCACCTGAAAAAAATGTGTAGGGTGTTCTGGGTACCATAAACTCAATATAAGGCAATGGTGAGATATAGCATTCAAGAAAAGAAATCTGATCTTAACCTACAATAATATCCAGGTTCAATATGAATGTATATGTAGAGCCTATATTAAATTGCATGCAGTCTTGGGGTGGGGGGAGGGGAGAGATGGGGAGAAAATTTGGGACTCAAAATCTTATGGAAGTGAGTGTTGAAAACATTTTTAAAAATAAATCGATTTTAAAAAGAATTGATCTACTTAACACTGTAGAACAGAACTACAAGCAACAGGTGCAATTTGCAATGACAATTTTAGCTTTGGATTAAGAAAAGATTTTCTTACAACTAGATGAAAAGGGCTTCCTTTGCAGATAGTGGGCACAACCCTGCTGAAATCCCTCAAGCAAAGGTTGGATGACCACTCAAGTAGGTAATAGATGGGATTCTTGACCAGGTTCTGGTTGGACTAGATTGGTGGTATTAAACTCAAATCAAAACACATCCTCAAAGGCATGTATTGACTTCAAAAAAAAAATTACTATTATCTACATTGTGTTATATTTTAATTTATTTTGTTAAACATTTCCCAATTATATGTTAATTGGGCTCAGGCCACACTCGGGTATTTGGCAGAAGCTTGCAGACATAGGCCACACGTTTGATACCTCCTGACTAAATGACCTCTGAGTTTCTAATTCTATAAATCCACGATTCTAAGATCTCGGGATCGGCTAAAATTCATTGCCCGATATTATCATCAGCGATCCAAATCATGGTATAATTTAGCTTCCGTACTTCATGCTAACCCACTCTCGCCTCCCATCCATTCATTCATTTGGGTTTTATGAAATGCTTTTTCTATGCCAGGTTCTACAAGTATTAATGGAGAGCCAAAGATAAATAAACCATAACCATACTCCTCATCCAAGATTATTTCTAAACTTTCACACCCAGAAAATTAAGTTGGTGCTGTCACTGCTACAATTTCATTATTCATATGTAAATACATTTACTTCCCAATTAATGTAATCATAGATCCTATGAAATTATTCAAATTCACACATCTATTTCCATTGGGATGAACCAATGATCATATTTTACATCTATTATAAATCAGAATAGTAAGAATTTGAATAATGTAACCGCTTGATAGGATTTATCATTTACACTGAGACCTTGTCCCATGAGTGTTGAAGGGGATATACATAATTTGGGTAGTTTAGATAGTTTCAAAGTAACAAAATACCAATGTCTAGATTAAGGTGACCATAAAAATGAATAGGGAAATGAGGCTCAAGGGTGGTCTTTAAGACTGCCAATTTGGGTCAACCATATTAGAAGGGGGAAGAAAGCCAGCCTTCTGTACATGAATAGCATGGGTAAGTGAAAGTGTGACACTGATAATTCAGCCAGTACTTGTGGAAAGAGGGGGGAAAACTAAGAAATATGCAAGAGTTTAGGGTGTGTGAATCAGCAGCAGCAAACTGACTCACTTCATTGATGCTTTCTGCCTATTCCCTCTCCCCCTCAGCATGGTAATGAATGGTTGTAGAGCAATGAGAGGCCCATTGTGACCCAGGCTGCATACAATTTCTCTCTCTCTTTTTTTTCTTCCCTGAAGCTCTTAGACTGAAGGAAATATATTTCCGGCTTGGTCTTGTTGGAATGTCACAAAAAGTTCTGGCAAAGAGTTTAGTTATGCCAGGAATTACATCTGTTGAACAGGGCTATAAGACGGCATAGATGCTGAAGTAAGTGTTTTGTTATTGTATAGCCCAGTCTTGGCAGGGGAATGGAATTTAGCAGCTAAAGCAAGATGTAAATTGTGAAAATTGGCATTTCCTTTGCCATCTGAAACACAAAAGGCCTCTATATCATTGCTTAAGTTTTGGGGTTTTTTCCCAAACGTTTGGGTTTTGCTCTATTTCTAAGATAGTTCTTTATTCTAAAGCCTACATCTACACTAAAAATCAAGCAACAATTATTTCAGGACAGACAATTCTATCGTATTTTATTTTAAAAAGCAACAGAAATGCATTCTTAACAGCTCAGCTACTTAGGCTGAATTTTCTTCACCCCTTGAGAAATGTGTAATTTAGATACTAAATTTTATAGAAGTTAGTAAACTATACTGTCACATATTCAACTGGGGCTTTATTCTGCCCCCTCCTTGCACCTCGTCTGTCTTTCCACATAAATATATATTTATACATACATATGCATACACATACATATATAAATATATACCCATGTATGTTTATATATACATACATTGATAGATATAGATACAGATACAGATATAGATATAGATACAGATGTAGATATAGATATAGATATAGATATAAATATGCATATAGATATAGATATGCCCATATCTGGATATAACCAGATTTAAGGACAATCCCAACCACATAAAATAATGTTCTGAAGTTTCAGAGACCCAAAACAGAACTGTGCAAGAATGTAGCAAGCAAAGAAGCAACAGGTAAATGACGAGAAGAAGAAGGATAACTCTAGAACCAAAGGTTCCTAATATTTCTGCCAAATTTTATAATATAAAAAGCCCTCAGAAACTTTAAAATATTCCCAACTATTTGACTAGAAAGTTAAGTACCAGGAACATGGGGATCCAGTTGTACCACAAGTTCAAGAATATCTAGGTACAGCTTTTGCTAGATGAGAGGTAGAATAGTGGAGAAATTAAGACGAGTCAACAATCATTTGCTAAGTAGGTACTGTGTGCCAGGCATTGTGCCAAATGCTGGGAATATGTGTACAAGCATAAGAGGAGCTTTTAATGGAGGAAGACAACACATGAAAGGAAGCTGGAAAGATGCGGGGTCAGGGTGGAGATGAAGGTACCCAGCAGGCGACTGTGATAGAGTAAGTCCAGAGAATAATCTGTAAAGCCTGGAGGGCTTCTCCACATCAACCTATATCAGATCTATGCCCCTCTTCTTCCTTCTCCTTGCTAGCTATCCCATGTTCTTCACAGATCACGGATTTAAATCTCAAAGGGATCTCAGAGGCCACCTAATCTTCCTCATTCTACAGGTAAGAAAACTGAGGCCAGAGGAAATTAGATTACTTGCCCAATGTCACAAAGTGGTAAGTAACAGAGGCAAAATTTGAACCTAAATCCTCTAGGTTTCCTCACTATCCAGTGTTCTTTCCACTGTGTCATGTTGTTCATGATAAGGGCGCTCAACCTTGCAGGAAGCTCTCCATTAGTGCCAAAATGCTACTCAGAACAGTTCTTCTCTACCTAAAAGTGGGAAGGTGTTAATTGTTGATCAAATAGGTATATTTACCTGACACCAGGCACTAAAGAGAACAGTGGGAGTCTCAGCAGGATCCCTCCTTTACTGGTAAAGAGCAAATAGGTAGCTGCCATGTAATAGCAATGATTTCATATGCATACAGAATTTAAGAGTTACAAAATACTTGATATATATTATTCCATTTTGACTTCGTAACAGGCTGTAGCAGGGATCCTCAGTCCCATATTAGCTGGACTAAATAATCTTTCGCTTTTGAGATTCTTTAATGCTATGATGGGGAAACCTGAGGCTCGCTGAGGAACAAATGCCCAATGTGAATCACACTCA